CTGAGACAGGGCATACTATAGCGGAATGGGCTTCGCCACAGTACCTTCATGTTGCTAAGGGCTGTCCACCCTCAATTTTGTTACTTTATTTCAGTTACCTTCCCTGTTGGTTACTTGTAGAAACAAGTAACAATATGATATTGGCTCTCATTCGTCTGGTTGTTCGGTAAGAATCCTGTTTCAGCTATTTTTCACCATATGGTTCGGCAAATGAACCAACTACCGAACAACCAGGCCACCCAGGAGAGGAGCATGACATCAATTGACCTCCCTAACTTGGTTCACAGTATTTAAACTGCCAACCACACAAACTAACTGGGTGTTCCCTTGGTGGCCGCCGTTCGCCATATGAACACGTGGTGGCAGCAATCTTAGCATACGAATTACACAACGGCACGAAACCAGCAGAGACTTCCATCCTCACATAAGTTCATGGGAACTCAAGGGAACAAAGCGGTGTTCGTTAAAAAGAACAATACGAACAAAGACACTGTCACGGTAGTTTACCCCTACACGCAAGATTTAGTCCAACAATCGACAGATAGAGCAGATACAACTTACCGGACCTTAGAATGGCCGGACTCGCCGTATAGCAGAGAATAGACAGAGTCAAGAACAAGCCGAGGTCAAGGGAACAAAGACACTGCGAGAACAAAAACTAGCCAAGGTCTGGTACACAGTAGTCAGTAAGCCGGCAAACAAGACAAAACAGGGATAGAGAGATAAATGGAGTCAGATACAAAGACAAGGTCAAGCACGAAAATCACAACTGAACACAACAAGCGCTAAAGGGGACTGAGACAGAAACCATGATAGGGCAGGGAGTTAAGGGAGAGGTAAGTATAAATACCCTAAACTTTACTTTGATTGGCCCCTGTCATATCCATGCCCCCAAAATGTGAGTGTCTGGGGAATGTGGGATGACAGGGGCCAATGGGAGCACATTGCATTTTTTGGCTCCCACTGCCCCTTTAAGAGCATGCCCGAGACGCGCGGCACACTCTTAAAGCTAGGCGGGACACATGACCGCATCTCGCAGTCATTGCCCGCCTTCATTCGAGAGCCGCGTGCGGCGGGAAGAGAGGACCTCGGCCGGCCCCCGGGTAAGGTAAGTACCGCTACAGACACGAACCATTCGTCATGAATTTTAACCTCCCGAACGGAGACGACCGCACACCCAAAACTCGTGGAACTATTCTCGGCTTACACCTCGTGTGCGGTTGGTAAAACTAAGACCTCCATAAAACTCTTGAACCCCTGAACTGATCTGGGTGATTTTTCAGTATGTTTCCTTCCCCCCCCTCCAGATCGGGGCTATCAGGGGATGTTGGAATTATGAATGTAGGATATGTTTTTGGGGTATTTCCAGAAAAGTATGATTTTTCTGTTTTGGGATAATTGAATTGAAACAGTAATTAACTCAATTATCCTCTGAGCAGACTCCTCTCAGGATTGTGTGTAATGTATGGGAGTGTCTTATGACCTGACTCTGTGTTTATTGGTGGATGTATATTTTTATCGGTGCCCCACAAGGTCCACCTGGGTGGTAACCTTTGGGGCAAAACCTGCATAAAAGTCCAGCTTGGCCATTAGAAGTTCAGTTCTGCTCCTAATACTGAGTGTTGTCCAGTTATTGGGAAGGGTGATGGGATATTCATGTGACGAAGTGCCCTTCGCCACTTGGTCCTGGAGAGGCCTGCTTGCCAGCCTCCTCCCTGGTGACTATGACTCTTTGATGTATTTGGCTACCTTCAGACAGACTATTCATGTAGGTTGCTTTATTTCTCTTATGTTTTAGTCACCCTGTACCCATTATAGGTGCAGGGTGTGTGTAATGTAATTGTTTATAGTGTGTGTGTGTGTACTGTGAAATGTATTGCCTGCTCTCCTGTACTGCTGAGGTTTGCTACCAACTAGGTGGATTTGGCTATGGAGCTTGTCTAGTGCCCTCTGTTGGTAGCAACAGCAATATGCACTACCCGAATAGCAATACTGGTTCATTTGCATATTCGGGTAGATTTGCATATTGCTAATTCTGCAGGCACGTGAGATATTTTCTGTTAAATATTGTCTCCCCCACCCCTTTAAAAATATGCCATTGTGTTATAATAAGTCACTGTATGTTGCCTGCTATGATTTGGCTGTTTGTAATTTTATTGAGTTTTTACAGCATTGTTAATGTAATGACCATATGGGCTAGTCCCAAGTAAAATAAAGGTTTAGACAGTTCTTCTTGATCCCTCTAAATGTAGCCTTGTCTCGTTATTGGAGGGAGCTGTTATAATCACACAGGCGATTGCTATGCTCTGCATACTCCCCTGAGCTTGAATCACTTAGCTCTTTTAAGAGCTTGTTCCTGACATGCTCTCCTTGGAGGAGGGGTCTTCCCCGCACAGGCCTGGATGCTGGAGGTTCATACAGGGTATGAACACACGGTGTTGGAGGACAGAAGCTGATCCATGGTGGAAGGAAGATGGCGAGACTCCAGTCAAGCTACAGCGGTTGCAGAGTCTGCGGTGGTTGTGGTGTCCGATACGGTGCTTGTGGTCCTCGGCGCAAGCTAGGAAGCGTCCATCAACGGAGGGTACTCGGTCGGAGTACGGGAAGCTCTGTTACAATTCATGTATCATCTTATAATTATGTCTGATGTCTTGAAGTTTCCTGTTTGTTCCTGAGTAGCTGTTGGAGTAACCAGCGGAGTAGAAACCCTGCTACCACTGTTCTCCGCTACACATACCAACTGGCCAATACCTCAGGGCTCGAAGGAACTGCAGCAATATTCAGGATTTAAAAGTAAAGCAAATTACTTGAGACAACATTTCAAAGAAAAGGGCTATCCCAATAAGTGCCTCAAAGCATACAGAAGAGCCTTGGAGGCTGTTAGGCAAGAACTACTTGCAAGCTGTTCCCCTAAAAAATCAAATGATGTGATCTGAGTGATAGCAACCTATGATACTGGGTGGGATGAGATGAGACAACATATTCAAAAATTCTGGCCCCTTTTGACGGACGACAGACATCTCAAAAAAATTATGGGCTGTTAGGTCGCTATTGCCGCCCATAGAGGCAAAAACTTGAGACCTCCTGGTCTCTAGCCATTTCCAACCCCAGTGCCCTATTAGGCATACCTGGCTAATCCCCTGGTTGATTCCTTCAGGTGTGGGAGATGTGTGGCTTGCAAATTTGTCAAGCGAGATTCTAAAGTGGTTAAGGACAGTGAAGGTAAACAGTTATTTAAGATTAACACATTTTTTAATTGTAACACTGCAGGGCTTGTATATTGAAATATGTAGTAAAAACCTTCTGTCATTTTAAAGAAAGAATCAAAGAACATGTGCAGTCACCAAGAGGGCATATTGAGACCCCAATCTGCAGGCACCTGAGGGAACACCACTCAGGTGACACCAAGGGACTTCGCTTTTGTGGTTTGTGATTGGTTAAATGGGACCAGAGGAAGGGGTGACTGACAGATTCTTAAAACCGTGTGAATGCTTCTGGATTTTTAAGACCCTTTTTCCTAATGGCCTATATGAGGGTTTTTCTTTTGCACCATTTATCCGAGCAGCGATACACTTACATATTGATTTTCTTTTAAATTACCTTAGGAAATTTTCGGTTGTAATTTTTCACTGTTATACTTTCTTCTTATTCCCACGTTCGACTAACATATTTTATGCTTTTTATTCAGAAGGACAATCCTTTGTTCTAATAAGGGTTTTGACGCATGTCTCTAATATAGACTTTACCTATTAATACATTGTTACGATTGCCCCCGGTCTAGCAGGGGGGTTGATCGCTTGGATGTCCTGGTTCCCGCTGTAGAGAGTCGAACGGAGGTCTTTCGGTAGTAAGCTGCAAGTGTAGAATATCCTCAAGCATGGTATAAGCATCAATATCCCAGATCCCTACAACATGAGTCGAGGCTGCAAGCTGAGGGTCAAAACGAACTGGCTTTACTGGCACATAGCATGGCAATTTATGTGATTCCTCAGGTCCAAGGACAGCCCCCTGTGGACCTGATGGAATACAGGTACAGTACAGACAAGTATCCAATCACAATACAGTGTATCATTTGAATTAGTACCCGCCCAGCTTGGAGATAATGAGGCCAACGGTTATACAATCTAATTATCTCCAAGCGCACAAAAGACCACGTTTTATTATGTCCCAGAAAGCTGCATAAAAATCCATAACTTTAACATTAATAAAGGAAAACAGCTCATTCTACTATTCATTTAATAGCTCGCGTTCGGATACATTAAACATACGAATGGCGCTCCAATCCCACGAACAGAATGGGCTATTTCTGCCGTATAAAGTCCGTTCGGCATTTTGGATTGTGAGTCTCTGATGGCGGCCATGTTTTCAGACGGTTTAGCGTGCAGCGGGACCTCGCTTCCATCTCATGGAACTAAACCCGGGTATCAGTTCATGTGAAGTCCCGCTGTCTGTCTGGTAGTGGAACTCATTTGGTACATGAACGAGGACCACCTGGTAGCATGGTACTTGAGCTGCGGTTAACCGCAGAAACCGCAGGCTAATGACCGCCACGCGACCCACTGTAGGGGGTCTCCGTTCGGTTGGTTGTTCGGTAGATTCCCTTCGGTACTTTGGGTGCAAACGTCGATCCCCCCAGGCCCATCAATTAGTCTGTGGTTAACCGCAGACCGCAGCCGCCTGGGTGGTTAATGGCTGCCACACTCCGCTGGTCGGGTGGTCGACCGTTCGGTACTTTGCGGGGTGACGAGGTTAAGTGGCGGCACACGCCAGCATTTGGGGGGTCCCTCGTTCGTATCACGAATGGAGTCTTTATAAGGGTTCGTGTAATCCATTCGCATTTTCCTCGGCTTAAACGTATATAGTGGCAACAGTAGCAATCGGTATTAACAGTAACACAGTCATTTCGAGTCTTTTGTAACAGACATTATATATGATTCGATCTAAATGAACTAATTTATTCTATCTAATTAATCTTTTCACTTGTCTCTGGAAACCTGATTACCTATAGCCATACCAGTCAAAAGGTGCCAGATCTTAGAAGCCATCCAGACTCGTGCCTAGTTAGTACTTGGATGGGAGACCAACTAAGAATACTGGGTGCTTTTGGAGACAATTATGTAATTAATGCTTATGTTTTTTGTATCACTTGTGGATATTTTTATCTTTCAAAAGATTTGTCTTTGATATTTAAAATAGGGGGTTCTAACATCTCATACTGTTTGATTATTTATATATATATATATATATATATATATATATATATATATATATAACTCAAATGTGCTTTAATGCTTAACTGTGAACCTTACCTACAATGATGCTTTACAATGATGCTTTATTTTAAGAGGACATTGTTACTATTATATTGTGATTTATGAAATTGCTAAATATCTATAGCTTTATGGACCAATCTATGAATGTATGATAGGGTAGGTTTATCGGCTATTGATGCCTTGTTGCATTTTTTGAATTCGTTTTATCCTGCCTTTTTCTCTTTATTTCATCTGACTTGAAAGCTGGCCCCAATTTGCTTGAATTAAGACTAGCTCTCCTCTGATTTGTCCAGATGTGGTGATATCACACGGTGGGTGGGGTTAACTTACCCTTTATAAAGCAAGACAAACAAACACACTTCAAGCTTGGCTCTTGACAAAGGTGCATGGAAGCCCTGAAATGCGCGTTGAGCAGACGCTTTTATTTTTAAATACTTTGGCTAAATACTTAAAATGTTAGGTACTTACCTTTCAAATGCTGACCTTTACTCCCCTGCTAATTAGCTGACGGCTTTGTTAGGTTTGGTTCTGAAGTTGGGATAATCCTCTGTGATCATTAAGGAGTTTACTATAGCATTACTATAATATACCATACTAGTGGATTTCTAGATCAGGGGCTGCCTCAAAGCAGCAGAGTGGGGCTATTATAGTCAGAGAATTTACTTACCTTGGGGGCTAATCCATCTGGATTCCGTTTTTAGTTCAAGATGAGCATCTAAGGTTTATAACAGTGGATACCTAGACTGGAGGTGTCTTTGCAGTAATAGACTAGGGCTTTAATAGATCAGGAGTGTATTTTCTTTAGGGGTGAATATGTTTGGGTTCTAAGTTCAGTCTTTGCTGTTCCAACCAGAGGTTGAGACAAATATATTTATATTTTTGTTTAACTACATCCAGGATCGGTTACAGCATCTTACTAGATACCAAACGATCAATCTATGGTATAAGATCTAGCTGACACTTACCTATAGGCTCTTAATCGCATATATTGAAGCACTTTATTTCCTCTGGCATTTTTAGGTCAATACCTTAATAGGGATAAGTTAACTATACTGCTAGTTTCCCCATTTATACTATTTAGTTTAACTTGGGGGTCACTGCAGTTTATCTTCCTAGGTATTCCTGAATCTGCATGTCTTTTTTCCTCTATATAGAAACATTATGGCTACCATGTAGGTGGTCTCTTAATTGTTCCAGTTTTCATCCCTACTTCTAATCTGTAAATCTATTAGTTATTTACCTATTTAATCAAGCATACTGCTAATCCTTGTATCTAGTCTACATGTTTACTTTAATATGGGTTTCCTTACTAAGCTGTTAGTTTCCCCAGTCACACTTTATAAGTTGTCTTGGGGGCTACTGCCATCTATTTCCCCTGGTATTCCTTACTTTCCATGTCCCTCTTCCCTTAATATAGGGACATTATAGCTACCATTTAGGTGGTTCTCTAATTGTTAACGGTTTTCATCCTCACTTCTATCTAAGAAATATTTTACCTCCCTATCTAAGCATATTGTTAATTTTGCCTCTGGTCTCTCTCTCTCTCTCTCTCTCTCTCTCTCTCTCTATATATATATATATATATATATATATATATATATATATATATATATATTTGCATTAAAGCTCTAACTCTGCACATCTTATCATGATAGCTAACAACATTTTAATAACATCTGTAGCCATCTAAATTGCAACAATACTCTGGTATGTGCACTTTATTTCAATGTATAAGTGAGCTATGAGGTTTTGCAACATTGTCATTTGGCACAGGGTTGTGAGTATAAGCATAGATAGAGATTTGACTCTTCCTAATCTATAAACATTCTTTGTACTTAACCAATTTTAATGATTTTTCACTTCACCACATTTTTGGTTTTTTCACCTGAGTGAGTGTTTTCCCTAAGGGTGATCTAATAAAGCAGTACCATTTTAATTTGTAATGGAACCGCTGGCACCCTGACAGGTTACCTTCCCATGAATTCAAAGGGGCAGAAAAAGTGTCTCAAAAGTTTCAGTATGTCCATACACTGTTTTTAAAGGGCCAACACCGTACAATAAAAGTCCATAAGCCCAAATAATGTTTGTAAAGGGCCATACAACCCAGGGCCATAGTCATGATGCAGGAGGCTGGCACTCAGGCTCCTCCAACAGCCAGGGGCAAAGGGCAACTTGTCACCTAAAAATCTAGTGACAAAAGGCATTTTGTCATACATCTCCCCTTTGGGGGGGAGACTAACCAGGTATCTGACCTGTCGGTCAGTGCCTGAGTTAGTCGATAAACCCACCCACAGTGAACAAGTACATGAGTAGCCCACCCACAACACACATTTACTGCACCTGGGTATTTCTCTGAGGTCACTGGGTAACACGCTGTGGGAGCGTGGGGGGCAGAGGCCAATTGTGCTCTGCCCTGATGCCAGCGCTTCTGCTGGGGCAGCTGGGTTAGGCCTTGGCTGGGGAGGGGAAATAGTACTTACCCCCTCCTCCTGGTGTCCCTGCAAGGGTAGTTGGGGATCTGGACAGGCTGTCCAACATCCCTGTACATTGGGTGCAGAGACTATGGTCCCATCTGCACCGTCTGGTGGAGTAGGGTCTCCCTTTGGTAGGGTATGCTGCCGCTGAGGAAAGAGACCAGTTGTCTCTTCTCCCGGTGTAATACACTGCCGCTGGAGAGTCAAACCGACCGTTTCGACTCCCGGTAACGCTGCCTGGTGCTGGGTTGCGGGAGCAACCATTTCCTCTCCCTGGGATGCTGGTTGCTGCATAGACGAGGGACCGACAATCTTCTCTCCCTGGGATGCTGGTTGCTGCAGGGACGAGGGACCGACAATCTCCTCTCCCTGGGATGCTGGTTGCTGCAGGGACGAGGGACCGACAATCTTCTCTCCCTGGGATGCTGGTTGCTCTAGGGACGAGGGACTGACAATCGCCTCTCCCTGGGATGCTGGTTGCTGCAGGGACGAGGGACCGACAATCTCCTCTCCCTGGGATGCTGGTTGCTGCAGGGACGAGAGACCGACAATCTCCTCTCCCTGGGATGTTGGTTGCTGCAGGGGCTGATGTTTCCCCCACCCGGCTCGTTCTGTTCGGTATTGCAGGTCCTCGGTCACGTGGGTCTCAAGTATACTGACAACACTTTCCGGAACATCAGGGCCAAAACACGCCAGTCGCCATTGCATCTCCCGAAGGAATGCCTGCTCGTAGGTGAGAGCTGCCCAGGGGCCAACTCTCTCCATTCTGCTGTTTACAGGGCCGCTCTACGAATACTAGCATTACCCTCAAATTGTAATTCCAAACGTTACCGGTGCCTCTGCGCTGCTTCTCCTCACACTAGGACGCCATCCCACCGCTGCCACCACTGTAACAGAACCGCTGGCACCCCAACCGGGTACCTTCCACTGACGGATGCTCCTAGTGCTTTCTGAGGACTCCAAGCACTCTCCCCGACACCATAACCACTGCAGACCCCACAAACCGCCGCAGCTTGGTTGGGGTCTCGCTGTCTCCACCCACTCTGGACCCAAGACCAGGGTCCAGCTTCCAGTAGGTTGACCTCTCTGAATTCCAGAGAGTAGGAACAGGAACAAGCTCTTAGCAGAGCTTAGTGATTATACCCTGGGGAACATAGTGATTATAGCAATCCCCAGAGTGTAGTTTCTCCAATCCCCCAAACATGAGCCGAAACTTCATGAAGGTACAAGATGATCTGACTTTTAATGACCACCCACTGGCTTTTATGCAAGTCCCCATGCAAGGGGACATCCCACAGGGTGGGACACAGTACAACCAATCATTTACAGGCAAACCGTAAAACACACCCAGCACAAGCATACAAAATCCTCCCCTCTGCTTAGGAGATAATTGAGTCAATTACTGTATCTACTCAATTATCTCCAAGCTGAAAAGTTACACTTTTTATAAATTTTTATAACTTTGTGAGTTTACACCGTTCCTACATAAAACTTATATTATTTTAACCAGTATAACTGGGATGATGAAGGTTATTGCGCCCACTTTGGAGGTCAATAACTGTTTGTATGTTTACCCTGTTTATGTTCCGAGATATTGTGGTTGAGGTGTTCGCCCCTAGACAAATGTTTGAGCATGAATATGTAGTGTATCTGTTGGTAACCTCGAGTTGAATTAGACTGCATCAGTTATTCAGTCTGTTTATGCATAGTGATGTCGCGAACCCGAAATTTTCGGTTCGCGAACGGCGAACGCGAACTTCCGCAAATGTTCGCGAACCGGCGAACCGCCCGAAACGCCATTGACTTCAATGGGGAGGCGAATTTTAAAACACACAGGGACTCTTTCTGGCCACAATAGGGATGGAAAAGTTGTTTCAAGGGGACTAACACCTGGACTGTGGCATGCCGGAGGGGGATCCATGGCAAAACTCCCATGGAAAATTACACAGTTGATACAGAGTCTGGTTTTAATCCATAAAGGGCAGAAATCACCTAACATTCCTAAATCACAATCAATATGGATTGACACCTGACATATGACATATTGACACCTTGACATATGGATTGACACCTGTCCTCAGAGCCCCTGATGCACACGGACACAGAGCAGAATAGAGACTGGTCCCCTACATAGGGTCACTTGGCAGATATGGATTGACACCTGTCCTAAGGATCCCTGATACACACTGACACAGAGCAGAATAGGGACTGTTCCCCCTACATCGGGTCACTTGGCAGATATGGATTGACACCTGTCCTAAGGTTCCCTGATACACACTGACACAGAGCAGAATAGGGACTGGTCCCCTACATCGGGTCACTTGGCAGATATGGATTGACACCTTGTTACAAACTGCTATTT